AGATAGATTTACACAAAAAATAAAATTGACTAATAAGCAAATATCTTATGAGCAGAACAACAATCAAATTCTACTATATGGTTTGAACAGCGCCAAGGTAGATTAGCAGCATCGAAATTCCACAAAATTTACACAAGAGTAAATACCATTCAAACAAAAGAAGTGCATAACTTAAGGTATATTTTTGATAAAATTTTAGGACAAAAGACCTTTGAAACTCTTGGTACAAAACATTGTAATGCTATGGAGCCACTAAAACCGAAGTTACTAAAATCTTGAAGAAGAGTCATAAAAACATCAAAACTTTTAAAACCTAGAATGCTGAAAATATTCCACATACCCTTATATATCAGTATCTCCAAAAACCTTTTGCTGTGAAAATGAAATAATAGAAATTTAGTGTCTTTATTCTATATAGAAGATTATTATAAAATTGATTTCTTCTAATATAGAAATCAACACCACATTTTTGTGATTTGCTGATAATTTTGAGTTTATTATGCTAAAAGTACCTATTTGGTTTTAATTGTTCTAAAAAGAATTTTGTTTTTTTATTTTGGTGTTTTTATTGGAATTTACAGTGTTTCCATATTTTCTTCCAGTATTATGGTACATGATTTGATTTAGTTATTTTTATTTATATTGTACAGTAGATATGCACTTTCTATATCATATCATCAAAAAAATATTGGTGCTTTACAAATTTGAGTATGATTTGGTTTTGGCTGTTAGTGTGAGTAAATCAATTTTATAGGAATTTTGAAAAGACTTTAAAATCTAAAACACTTTTAATTTTCAAGATTTTTTAAAGTCATTTTTTAAATTTTATAAAGTTTTCAAAAACTTTATCTCTATTTTTTTTTTTAACATCTGATGATAGCATTTGATATAAACCCTATTTTCCTGGCAGTACATACAATGTTATGTTATGCATTAAACACTCATCTTGAATGTTGAAACCATTGTCTGCCATAACATAAGAAAATTGAGGAACTAAATCAAGAAATTTTTATGCTATTGTCAACTTTTTGTTGAAAACTCCTGTGTATGTACTTGAAACAAAGTTAATGAATGAAATAGTTGTAAATTTCAGTAGAATGAAATCCCCCTACCGGTATATCTTAAAGTTGAATGGTATCTATATATCTTTAACTAATTAGAAGAGCAAAGAGTAATAATTAATGGAGAAGTAATTTTTAGTACAATAAAAATAGATATTTTCTTTTAATTTAAAATTAAAAATTTAAATACCAAATTGTTTTAACAATAGTTACATATAAAAGTACAGACTGTTCAAAAAGATTATAAAAACAACCAGCTCAGGTATATCTTGTACTTTTGAACTAATTTTAGAAGTTGCTATTAATAGATATAGCACAAAGAACTTTAAACTTATTAAAAATGATATCTTGTCTAGGGCGACTACAACCAGAATGTTTAACTTATGGTTTAACTTTAATAGGAATGTCAATTATAGGGTAGCCTTTTTTATTGATGCACATTTTTAAAAACTAATTTTGAGGGATTAGTTAATGAAAAAAATACCGAAAAAGTTTAAAAGCTCTGAAAAGGATTAATTCAGGGAAAAGCTAATTTTTCTCAGTGAAAGAATTAATCTTTCTCAGTGAATGACACCAATGAACCATCATCGGTGCCTAGTAGCACCATTGATGATATATCTCCACTAAAAAATAAAAAATATTAGTTATATGTAATCCATTTTTAATTGTTTTTTTTTTCTTTATCCGAATAGCTTGCAATATTCAGCTGAACACAAAATAGTAAACAAAGTAGCTATATAGACCAATGAAACCGAATTCACCAAAGTCACCAATTATTTGTGACAACTCTAGAAAAATGTTTATAACATTAAAAACATGTTTTCATCATTCAACTAAATTAGATCTGATTGAAGATTGAGAGAAAATAATATATTTTTCTTTTTATGAAACGTTTCTTGTGGTTATGGCTTTCAACTGTTTTGGTCCACATAATGAAACCTTTGTTAAGATTGACAAAAAGAAACAGTATGAAACAGACTAAATCAAAAATGATGGTCTTTAAAAGTTGTATATATAGTTTTCTCTTTACCAATATCTCTTTGTAACTAAAATTACTTAACAATATTTTTAACAGCTCATAACATATCACTTTTAATTAAACTGTTTCTTAGTATATGTATTTACACACAAGAAAAAAATACCAAACAAAAATTCTTATGTGTAGATTCTTATGTGCAGATTCTTATATGTCGATTCTTATGTGCAGATTCTTATGTGCAGATTCTTTTTGATTCATTTCTGGTAATAAAGTTACACTGTCTGGATTTATATAAATATTTTTTAATTTTATTAAAGACTGCTGATTGAAAAGATACTTTTGTTTTACAACTGTATGAAGGTATGGGAACTAAGTGGCATCATATCCAAGATTCAGTTTTGGATCTAAAGTTGATTTATTTGAAAAATTTAGAAAAAAAAACTGGGTTTTCACTAGGACTCTAAAGCTTTTTTTTTTTTCTCTATTTATAAGTAGTTTTCATATTATTTTGTTTACTTTTTCATTTTTCTTTGCTGAAAAAGGATGTAGCTTATAATAAAAAATTTAACTTATATTACCTGTTAGCTACTTATAATACCTGTTAGCTACTTATATTACCTGTTAGCTACTATTATTTGTCAGCAATAGTATATTTAACATACTGAATTGCATTTAAAAGTAGATATTTAATTTTATGAATATATTTTACTTAGTATTATCTGATTACTGCATTCTGCTAAAAAAATATTTTAATCTGAATGCTGGTTCACAAATACATTTCAGATTGTTCCTACATGCACTATGTTCTTCACGAATACCATTACTCCATTTTAATAACTTATATTGACCATAAGTACACAGTACATTGAGTAAACATTTTTTATTAACTTTCTCTAGAAGATGGTTTGTTTACCTCTGATAAGTTTGCTCAAAATATTGCGCTAAATTAACTTTCTCTTAAATTTTTATAAATTAAAAATTTTATTAAAAAATGTATTCAAAAAACTATAAAATAAATTTTATATTTTTATTTTATAGTCTATAAATTTAATATTTTTATAGTAGCATTTTTAACTTAGTATCTAAAATACAATATAATAAATATATAAAATAATAAATAAAATAAAATGATAATAATTGAGGTAAAAATAATAGATACACGCTTAAATTAGACAAAGAAAACTTAAATTAAATCTTTTTTAATTGACAGTTAAAAAAATTTGTTTGTTTATTTATATAAAATACATGACACAAAAATAATTTTAAAAGCATCAAACTAATTCATTCAAGTTTTAATTACAAAAGTCATTTTCAAGCGCTCTCGCTTGGAGCTATTTCAGTGCCTGAGGCATGTTTAAACCCTGTCAAGTGCTGCAACTGATAGGGTAATATATATATATATATATATATATATATATATATATATATATATATATATATATATATATATATATATATATATATATATTTATTGACACTGATGTCTACCACCCACCCAAATATTAGTCTGCCATCTTTTTATTTTTGTTAGAAAATGTATTTTAAAAAAAATTTAAAGCGAAAACTGTGCTTTGCAGAGAATGAAAAAAATATTCTTCAAAACTTCCTAATGTAAATCATACTTTGCAGGTGATAAGAAAATTGGAAAAGTTAATTGGTTCCTCACTACTAAAAGTAGCAATCTAATTCTTTTAAAAATAAACTCTGCAGTGTCAACTATACTTTGCAGGATATGCAGCAGTTAACTGATTGGTTGCAAATAAAAAACATTTACATAAAAAAATTTAACTAAAGTTTTCTCAAAAAATTGTTCAATCATAAAAAGCAGAGTAAAAAAATAAATTTGAATTTTAACATCAAAACATGAGCGGAAATTTGATTAAAAAACGTTTTGAAAAAATTTGAAGTTATTTTGTTAATTCATAACATAACAGGAGTGTTTTTCCAATATGAAGCAAAAGTAATGGAATCTTTTTTTTTTTTTTTTAATATATATATATATATATATATATATATATATATATATATATATATATATATATATATATATATATATATATATATATATATTTATTTTTTATTATTTATTATTTTTTTTTTTTATTTTTTTTTTTAATTCATCTCCACTACAGACGAGGAGGCTACTTATTTGTGGTTATAACCCTCTCTCAACTCAATAACTCCGAAACACGAACCTTGATGAGCAAGGCCGCTGGGCGGAGAAACGAGTTGAGCGCGGTACTACCAGGGACGTGGTGGGGATCGAACTCGGAACCACTCGTTTATGAAACGAGCGCTCTACCACTACACCACTACCGCATATATATATATATATATATATATATATATATATATATATATATATATATATATATATATATATATATATATTATTTTGGTGTTTACTGAAAACTGACTAAAAATAATTATATCAATCAATGTTCTTATTTGCTTCTTAATTTTTACCATATTTAAGGATCGTATAAGTTAAATTGCTAAAAACAGCTGACTAATTAACTTTTGATCATTTTTGATAAAAAGTTAACTAGTCATAAAGTTATTTTTAACTTTTTGACTAGATAACTCATTAAGACAAACTTAAAAAAAAATTGTTACTTAGACTCTACCTCCTACCCTTTAAATTTTTTATTTGTACACAGGAGGCGTAGTTACATCACTTACCACAAGAAGCATAGTTAAATCACTTACAACATGGCATACCGCGCTATTTTTTGACAGGGTAAACTAAAAACTTGCATTCATCCTGAGAGCAATTTTTAAACTTTACAAATTGGAAAATAAAGTTTACAAAATAAAGTTTCACAAAGAAGAAGAGTAACAAACAAACTTTTTAATAATTAAAATAAGAAAAAACGCATATATATATATATATATATATATATATATATATATATATATTATTTTCAGTACAAAAACTCATTAAAAAATAATAACACTACCTGTGTCTAACAAAACTTTAACAGATGCCTGAAGATCATCATCTTGAAACTTATCAGCATTACATTTTAATGATTTGCCTAACATTATAAACTCAGTTCGACTAATAATTGGAATTTCTCCATTTAATTCTTTCATGATTCTTATTTTAATGATCTCTGCCTCCAATTTCTGATAACTCTGTGGAACCAGCATGCCCATTATTTTATTACTGCCTGGTTTTCCATCAAATGTCATACATTCTGCCATATGGTAAATCTGCTCTTTAAGTGCATTAATCCCTTAAATATTATCAAAATATAAAGTTAAATTTATTTATGAATATTCATATACATTTATATTTGTTTATATATATATATATATATATATATATATATATATATATATATATATATATATATATATATATATATATATATACATTTATATTTGTGTATATATATATATATATATATATTTTTGAATGTAGACATCATGTATGAGAGTATGTTTATTATTATTTTATAAACATCAATAAATACGATTTTCTCTCAATACTAAATTTATTTTTTATTTTTTAAAAAATAAAAAATAAAAAATAAATTTAGTATTGAGAGAAAATCGTATTTATTGATGTTTATAAAATAATATATACATATATATGTATATATATATATATATATATATATATATATATATATATATATATATATATATATATATATATATATATATATATAAGCAAGGACTGTGATGGACTTTCAGGGATGATGGTTTCAGGGAAATAAAGTTGATGTAATGAACTGGCCTCCTCAGTCTAATGATCTGAATCCTATACAACATTTGTGGGAAATTTTATTTCAGAAAATTAAAGGAAAGAAGCCAAAGAATGCTACAGAACTGTTTATAATGATAGAAACTGAATGGAATAATATTTCTGTTGAGTGTTGTGTGGGTCTTTCAGTCAATGCCAAAGCGTATTGCTGCGGTGTTGAAAGACAAGGGTGGATATTCCAAATACTGCTGAAATTATTTAAAATACTCATGAAATTATTTTATTGTGTTTAACTACAATGTTTTTGATAACAATAATTGTAAATTATATTTAACATGTTGTACATCTTATTTTTGCTGCCTTATGCTGTAGATATACAGTGGCCTGGAAACTTTCTGTTGGTACTGTGTTTGTATATATATATATATATATATATATATATATATATATATATATATATATATATATATATATATATATATATATATATATATATATATATATATATATATATATATATATATATGTATATATATATATATATATATATTTATATATATATATATATATATATATATATATATATATATATATATATATATATATATATATATATATATATATATATATATATATATATATATACAGTGACGCTCAAAAGTGAGTTGACAGGCGTATATTTTGTGAAAAACTGCTGTTTTTCATCAAAATATACTTAGCGCGATCAAAAACCAAAAAGAAAAGTAAAATATTGCAAAATTCCTTCGATATACAGTTACTTTTTAAAAGTATTACAAAAATAGCAAAATATATAAATAGATAAGTTAATATATCATGATTTATAAATTTGGCTAAATCCAAAAGTCTGTTGACAAGTATTTTTTAAATATATAATCACCAATAAGTTAATAAAATAAGCAGAATAATGGCTTAATTAAGTTGAATAATATTTTAAATAAACATTTTAATTGTCACTATTTGTTTTGAACAGCATATTGATGAAATATACTTTTTTGAGATGGCACACCGTGAAACTTCGACTGATACCAGGATTGAAATTAATTGTTTAATTAAGAAAGAAGGAAAGTCATTGAGAGAAGTAGCAAAGATATTTGGATTGAGTGCAGAAGGTGTAAAGATGATCGTTAAGCTAATGAACTAGCGATACACGGCAGAAAATTCAATTAGATCAGGTTAACCAAGGAAGACAACTACAAAAGATGATAGACTGATCGTTAGAACATTGGTTGAAATACCAAACATGAGTTCAATAGAACTTAAAAACGAATTAAATTTGGCAATTAGTCCTCAAACAATTAGAAGACCTCTCAATGATGTCAGATTTTACGGTAGAGTGATGCAAAAAAAACCATTTATCTCTATAAATAATCGAAGAAAGAGTCTGGCGTTTGCTAAAATGCATATGAAGTTGCTACTCGAAGTCTGGAAATCTGTATTTTGGACAGGCGAATGCAACTTTGAATTCCAATCGACAAAGAGAAGAAGAACGGTCTTCAGAAAAAAGAACAAGGAGTTTTTAATGCAACATATGATACCTACAGTCAAGTTTGGTGATGGTTCGGTGATGCTGTGGGGTTCTATTTCATGGAACGGCCCTGGTACTATCGAGTTGATCAATGATAAAATGACCAAAGAAGTTTATCTTGACATTGTACAGCGAAACATCTTTGCTTCTGCAGCAAAATTTAGGATCAATAACGATTTTATCTGGCAGGAGGATAATGATCCAAAACATACAGCAAAGATCGCCAAAGATTGGTTCGCTGATCATGAAATTTTTCAAGTTCGATTGGCCTGCTCAATCGCCAGATTTAAATATAATCGAAAATATATGGAAATACTTGGATAGAACTATTCCTTAAAACAAAAGAAAGTCAAAAAATGACATGTTTACAACAATCAAACATCATTGGGAAAAAATTGACTTTAACTTCATTCAGAAATTAGTACTTTCAATACCAAAACGCTTGCAAGCAGTTATCGATGCTAAAAGCGAACCAACAAAATATTTAATAGATTGTGTTTGCATTAAAATAGCAAAACAATTTTGTTTAAACTTGTGTTCTTGTCGCTGTCAACAAACTTTTGAGCAGTACCTTTTTGTGTTTTACCTAATTTTTTATCGTTATAACATTAATCGATTGCTGTTCTATTTTTATTTCAAACACTCTTTTTGTTTTCTATTAAATTAAATACTTTCTACCCATAAATATCTTGTCATTCATAAAATAATGCCTAAATATTCACTTTTTTTGAATGTCAACTGACTTTTGAGCGCCACTGTATATATATATATATATATATATATATATATATATATATATATATATATATATATATATATATATATATATATATATATATATATATATATATATATATATATATATATATATATATATATATATATACACACATATATATATATATATATACATATATATATATATATATATATATATATATATATATATATATATATATATATATATATATATATATATATATATATATATATATATATATATGCTCGTGCTTGGGTGTTTATAATTTTTCCATAGTCTAATCATTTTAAGGTTTTTTTTTATAAAAATATTGTTTTAAAGCCTGATAAAGGTTGTTTTTTTTAAAAATATTTGATAGACTGCCTGCTCCAACCAAACCCTCAGTCAATGTAGCAGCACTTCCTTGTAGCTATAAGATGGTCAACGTAGCAAGGCTCCCTTGTAGCAGCAAGCTGTAAGATAGTCAATGTAGCAGCGCTCCCTTGTAGCTGCAGAATATAAGATAATCAATGTAGCAACACTCTGGGCATGTTTTATGGTAAAAAAAATGGTAAGTTTAAGGCTTTTTCCCATAATTTTTTTTCGGCAACCAATTTTCATGCGGAGTGGCTAATGAGTGGCATATTTATATAAAAAAAAATTTTTTTAATTTTTTCTTGAAAGAAGTATTCACGCCGATTGTTTGAAGTTATGCTTTTTATGATTTTTGAATAAATTTAGTGCGATTTCCAAGCATTGGCGCGAATAGATTCTGATATCAAATCCAGTTAACTTGTTCAACAATATTTTCTTAATGTGTTCCTGTACAAAAAAAAACACTGTGTTTAATAATTTAAGAAATATGTTTTACCTGTCTTGCACTGATAACGATAGAAAAATTAACACTTTGGTTATGGTAAAGAGATTTTTTTAGATCTCCAACATGATGGCAGGAGGTTATTAAGAATAATGGTTGGTCAGGAAACTTAGCTAATCTTGTACAAACCCCATTTAAATAGCCAGCAGCCGTATTCACATTTCTCCGTTAAACTAACGGAGAATTTGAGCATCCGTTAATAAAAAAACTCTAAACAACCGGTTATAAAACGGAGGAAAGTAAATGGTATTCTAATCCTACTGTTTAAGCTCCATTTATTAACCGCTTCGATAATTTTTAAATAATGATTGCTGAGTAATTTTTTAAATTTAATTAAAACACGCTACAATAAGAAAAATTCAAAGAGTTTGTATCTACTTAACAATTAGTTTCATTTTATTAATTTCACATTTTCTCATAACTCTATTTCCTTTGAATTTTGAAAACGGATCAAAATATTAAAACCGAGTAATTTTATTGTGACACATTTCAATAAATCACAATTTTTTTCGCACCAAAGTGCAGGTTTTATTTGTATAGTGTTTAAATTATAATTTAACTACAAAATGAGTTATGTCACTGTGTTCCTTGTACTGTCTTTCTGTTTAAGAAATTGTTAACTAATTATTCAAAAAATATTTTAAAATGAACTTTTCTAGGCTAAAATGAACTTTTCTTTGGTTTAAGAAGAAGATTAAAGGGTTAGGTTAAAAAAAAAAGGTTAAAGAACTTTTCTTAGTCTAAAAAAAAAAATTCTTTTTTTAAAATGAACTTTTCTTAGGCTAAAACAAAAAAACTTTAAAAATGAACTTTTCTTAGGCTAAAATGAATCTTTAGTAGAAAACATACAAAAAAAAGTTATTCAAGTTTTTAATTATAACATTTAAATATTCTCTAAAAACCCGCCGAAAAATTATTATTTCAATAACATCTAAAACTAAGTCTCAAATAATAATTAATATAAAGTTATACACACAAAAAAAAAAAAAAAAAAATTTTGAAAAAATTGTGTCCTAATTCTTCTAATTATGCTAGGTACAATTTTAAAAGTGAAAGTTACATGTAACTTTCACTTTTAAAAATTTAACTACATTGAAGGCAAAAATCCATGCTACTACCTTCGCTGCAGCATAGAGATTTTACAACGTGCTTGTTATAAAATACACTATAACTCGTCTCTGTTATAAAGTTGATATTGTTAATTGTTTTATTTTATTTAATTAAATTCACATACAAGCTAAAAAAAAATTATATATGTTCAGCTTATATCATTTATTTTTAAACTAAATGAAAAGATTTAAAAGGAAAAACTTAACTTTTTAGTCATTACAATCCAAGAGTTTATATATATATATATAAACTCTT